TATATTCTAGACATCAATCAACCAGCGATAAATCAACAAACATAGCGGCATGCCATAGTTATTATGACTGTGAGAAATACAATGGTAATATTTACTACATGTATAATGGCGTCAAGTAATTTTATGTATGAATGCTTTTAATATATATGAAAAAAGCCTAATGGAATGCTAATAAAGGAAGATGAGATAGTTATATTGGGTGTGATAAGAAAATTTTTGATTACAAATTATTTTATTCTGTAACATAATAATTGGTTTTTTTTTTATATTTCTGCCACATAATTATTAATAACAATTTAAGACAATGTAAACCTAAAATATTATACATGACTCGAATAGAAGAAACGTTTCGAACAAACGTGTCTCCAGTGTATACTTCTAAAATGATGTATTTAAAAGCATTATAAACTTAATTAAACGTCAAATACAAAAATACTGCGTGTAATCCTGCCAACGCTTTGAAAAGGTCCGGTGCTAGAATAAGTTGGGGTTATAGCTTTATAATAGGTAGGGAAGAGGGTGCACCATTGAAAAATTTTGCTTGAAAGCCTCTTACACCACACTGGGGTTCATTGTATTACGTCTATATGCATATGGTTGTAACAGGCAAAAGGAAATATGCATAGAATCACTTTCTGTGGCGATTTATGCATGTACGTCCGTCTGTCTGTCCATGTTAAATTGTAAACCAGCATTATAAGAATTTATGACCCGAATTGGATGAAATTTGGTAAAGCTCATTTATTTGGCCCTAGGACGAACCCTATTAAAATTGGGACAAATCAGATTTAGAACCAGTAGAGAACCAGTTAGAGAGAGTACATGTCTGGCTCTCGTATGAACTAGGATTATTGACTTCGCTCTAATATTAACAAAATGGCGGACATTTGAAAAAACATTTTTGGAAAATCGCGTTTTTGTACCAAAAAACAAATTAAAAAATAAGGAAGATCTTCACCGATTGGCTTTATCCTAGTTCATACGATAGCTATACACTCACAGAGAAACGTGTAAAAATTTGGAATCAATTGGGTTATTAGTTTTTGAGTTATCATGCCCGCCAATTGCAAAAGAGAAAAACGTGTTTAAAGTTTGAGAAGCCCTTTAGCCGTCACTTGATGCTGACACAATAAATCGGATATATCTTCAAGAGTTCTTAAGATTTTCACTTGAAATTTTGTAGGGACCTTCTTGAATTAGTGTAGATTCGAATTAAATCAAAAAAAAAAAATGTTGACCCCGAGAATGGGGGGTCCCCTTAATGTAAATGGTACATCAAAGTCCCTATATATGTTTCAATTTACACGAAATTTGGCATAGCGTATTGAACTAAATCTAGAATGAAATGTGTTAAGTTTCGTGAAAATCGGTTCAAATTTAGATAGAATAGATATATAGATTTAAAGTAAATCGTTCACCAACGTGTCTATATATCTTTCGATTTCCACGAAATTTGGCATAGTGTACTGAATTAGGTCTAGAATGATGTGTGTTAAGTTTCGTGAAAATCACTTCATATTTAGATATATCTCCCATATATATTTTCGTCCGATTTCAGGTAAGTGGTGTGCCAAACTTCTAATATTTGGATTTTTATTAATAATGTAGCTTCCATATATATGCAGTGAACTGTCGATAATGAGAACATCCCATTCATTTAATTCTCGATAATGTGAACTAATAAATGTCGGTATATTTCATACTTTCGAATTTGTTCACACAAATTGCCACACAATTATGCATATAGGACCGGTTCTGGCCAAAGAAGACACCTAATGATTCGTTAATTATTAAGGTTTCAAATGGACCTAATACTTTATTTTATCTGATTTTCTGGTCGCTCTAGAGGCTACAATTATGACCCGAACATGACGAAATTTTAACGGTGGACGGGATTTTAGCCCAAAAATAAGCATGACTTGCCTATGTATATTTTAAATTAATACCAATTTGCTGATATATGCACTCGGATGTGGGAGATATACATAAAAATATACATGGGTACCTATTCGGATTAAAATTTTCAGTACCACACTAGAGGGCGGAAATGTAGTGTTGATTACTAGGACATTTTGTATTAGGTTCCGGTTATGCTTATGCTATTTCGGGGACAAACTAGACCGAAAACATACATTTTGTTTGGTGTTCTAGTAATACTAGACTCCACAATTATCAGCCGAACATAAGATATTGGCTATGGATCAACTAATTCGTATGGCTGCCTTGATAATGAACGGTCAATATTTAGCGGGTCAGGTGAATGGCATATTTTTTATGTAAAGTAACAAAATTTGAATCCAACTCCTGGAAAAGCAATATACCGCAGATTAGCTGTTGATATCTAATAGGAAAGTAGAGTGGAAATATCGCGAAATCAGAATATCAATCCACAGAAACATATAGATCAGTGGTAGTAGTGTAGGGTATCATATAGTCGGCCCCGGTCCGAATATTCTGCTCGTCCCCCTGGTTTTATCGTAAATAATAGAGCTTGGGTAGAAGTATTTTATCCCGATCATCGGATGCTAGTTTTATATGACGATTTTTCCAGGAGGTATGTTGTTCTTTTTTAATTCAAAATACTAAGTAACAACTATTTTTTGGATATGTGGGAGGGATTTTAAAAAATACATAAAAACATTCGGTATTTATATAAGGGGCATATGTCGGACCATGAATCTAACATATTAGGTGGGGGAAAAAGAAATTCAGTATTCAGTATAGGACTTTATTTAACATGCTTCGGAATGTGCGATTTGGACCAAATATGCACCGTGTTGTTGTATTATTTGTTGTTATTTTAAAGGTAACTTCATAATGCTTCTCTCATAGAAGTAATGCTCAGCTTCTGACAGTAAATATCAAAATTTAGCGTTTGTCATATGGAAGCAACTCGTAATAAATAATCCCCTTCCAGTCCCACCAAATGCATACCAGAACCTTCAGGCCGTTAGTCCTGGTTTGGCCACCGTTTGAGATGCTTCACCGCCCTTTTGACCACGATCGATTTCGCACAGGGTTATCGTATGTGATCCATTTCTCAACTCCAGTCACCATCCGTTTAAAAAATGGGTATACACATTCCGTTTGGACAAGGCTTCGCAGATGGAAATTCGATTCATTAAAATTTTTTCTGTTAATTGGTGTGGCACCCATTTATTGCAAATTAATTTAATATTCAGAATCTGCAGAATTCTCTGAAGTTCTACAACTAAATACGCCTCAAATGCCATGAACCGTGTTTACTGAAACCAACGTGATTGGTGAGACAAAATAGTGCTCTTGCTTCGTATTTCATATCCGACATCACCAGGGATGGTCCGTATGACAAATTTTTAGGTTTTCGACTGTCAGAAAGGTGTAAACGTCGAAAACGTCATATTCCTGTATGAAAAGTAAAAACTGTAGTAAACGTCATTTATTCCAATATTATCACCATATACAGTTATTTTCCAAGAATATATATTATTTTTACATATATCTGACTGAAAAACTAGGGATCTTACGCGGACGTGTATATCATTTTTCACCACATCACATATTTACCCATTTATTTAATATTTCAAATATATGGCAGTTGTACAAATAACCCCTATAACCGCAGTAATTTTGATAAATGTCATAATTTACACTGATTTGCATGTGTAAATGACTCATACACACACACACACACACATACAAATATCCACCTACACATAAAAATATTTCACATACAATTTATATATAAATTGCCATTTAAATATCTGTTCATCTGAAATGAATGTTGCCTACAAATTGATCAAATTCATTGATGTGTTAAACGAAAACCTCAACTATTTTTGCACCACAAAACTATTTAAATTACAAAATATTTTTACTTTTTTTTGCTCTCTCTCTATACATCAATTTTACTGTTTTCCACCTTCTTTCTCTGTGCCTGTCTGTCTGTTCCTATATCTGCGTTATTTGCTTGAATTTGAATTTTATTGATTTTTGATAGAGTCTAACCACAAATGTATTTAAAAATTATACACGCCACAATCAAACAAACTGGACACAATATTGGGATGTCGGTATAACGATTTGAGGGCCGACGGACATGCCATACCATTGCAATGGAAATAGGAAATATTGTTAGCTATCATAACATGAAATATTATTTCGATAAACAAATTTAATGCGATTTAATATTTATGTTATAGACGACGGACGACGGTGTTTTTGCGTCCACCAAATTCAATATTTTTACAAAAGTGTTGTCGTAAATGTTTGGTAGTATGTTTGTGTCAGTACAGGGGGAGCTTGGGAAGTTCTTAGCCTAGCACAAAAAGCATGATATAAACAGAAAAATTTTAAGTGTTTTGGAAACTTCCATTTGAACACCTGTTTCCATATGAAGGAGTTGCCAAATCGCCAGCAAAAATGTCGGAAATAACATGAAATTTTAGAATAAGTTTAGATTTATTCAAATTTGTCAACTTTTTCACGATTTATGACCTTCAAACCGCCAATGAAACCGTCACACGCTGCCCGAATGTTGCTCTGTGGTATTTGGGCCCATTCCCGGCAAAGCGCTTGTTTGAGGTAATCGACACTTTGGTATTTTTTAGTGCCAACTTTGCTTTCCCAAAAACCTCCAGACAAAATAGTCCAACGGATTGGTATCCGGACTTTTTGATGGCGATTGTGCGCTGAAAATGAAGCGAGGAACCTAATTTTGCAACCATTTTTGGGTGGCGCGTGCTGAGTGCGATGGTGCTGAGTCCTGTTGGAATGTTAAAAGTCTGCGGCGAAAATGTTTGCGTACCCAAGGCTTTAATACACCCTCCAGAATATTTTCGCGATAATAATCGGCATTTATTCTAATGCCACGGTCGATTAATACAAACGGAGAGCGACCATCGCTGTTATGGCGGCCCATGGCATGCTAGACAACGAATGTTTTCTCATCGGTGGAAACCAAATTCGGCAGTTCACCACTTTCGGCCAAGCGAAGCAACTCTTTAGCTCGTTTGAGTCTATTTTCTTTCTCTTGCGGTGTAAGTTCTTGCACTTTTTGGAATTTCAATAGCTTTACCCTGATCTCATTTTTCAATATCTGCCGAATGGAATATTGTTCAGCTCACGAGCCACTTTTCGAACCATTTTTGCTCATGTTGCTGTTTTCTTCCGTCCACTTCCTTGAAATCGGGCTACGCTACCAGTATCACGGTAACGAGCGATGGTACGAGACACAAAAGATTTATTCACATTTAAATGCTGGAGTGCTCTAACGATAGCCACTTGTGGTTTTCCAGCCAAATATAAAGAAATCAAATATAAAGAAATCACACTTGAATTCAATCACGCATAACTGTTTTTCTTGAAAATTCTTGCCAAAATTGTTTGTACGCTTGTAAACACTGTCACTGGAATAATTTTAACAGTTGTCGGAGTGGCTAAGAAATTACAGCGGTTTGAAGTTGGTTGCAGTATTTTCATCTCACCCTGTATATATTCTTGATCAGAATAAAATTCTATATCGATGTAGCCATATCTGCCTGTCGGTTGAAATAACGATAGCGATTTTAATTGTCCAAAGGAATTACTTGTATGCTGAAATATTCATTTATTTAAATTTTATAATATTATATTACTTACATTTAACAATGTGGGAAGAAGAAAAGGATTTTGGTAATTGAATTTTATACTGGCTTCTCACAAATAAATCCGTATTTAGTGGTACAGGCCCTATCATTCCATTGGAAACCGCGTTGTAAAGTCCATAAATGTACACAGTGTTCGTTACTACCAGCATTGTTCGGGTCGCCTTTTGCCCAATTACTGAATATTACACGCTGACCAGATGACCAGTAGAATGGACGATTTAGATCTTTGTCTGTGTTGTATTCATCGTTAGCACCTATCCAAAAGTTCTTGGGATTACCTAAACAAACAAAAAATATTGTCTCTAAATATTAAAAATCAGCAAATTCTTCTCGACACCAATGTAAGATTCCAGTGTAGTCAATAATTCCTTGTTCTTGGCGGCGTCACGGACTTCAACGAGTCTCAAACCTTATCGAGCACATTCGTGAGATGCTTCAAACCAATTACACTGTGCAGCACTAAAATCTTGAACCAATCGAGACCCCCAAAATCTTGAAGCTTGTGATGGTGGAAGAAAATCCATAGCTGGGTTTCGCATTATTAGCTAAGGTTTTCTTTTAAATTAATTTTTAAAATATTCGACTGGAGGTGGATTTTAACAATTTTCGAATAATACGTACTTATTATTGAGTCTATATTTCGTGAACTATTCGAAATATTGCTTTTCTCTCTTAAGCAATATTCTTCCTCTTAATTAAAACTAAAAATTTGTTCTTGAGATAAAATCAATAAAACATCACGATCATACTGAAAATAGCACAACTGCGAAAAAAATTAAAATTTCGACATACTTTTTCCATGTTTTTTCACACTTATTTCAGAAACTGCTACTGACTCGACCTAACAATATATGACAAGAAGATAGCAAATCAAACAACTCTTCTTAAAACCCCGATTTCATTGGTTGACTCCTTCACATAGTTATAGCCTCACAAATGCATCAAAATGAACCAAAAAAATCAATCCCAATTGTATGTTTATAGAAATATAAATTGCTATGCTTTGCAATAAATAGGTACAAAATTAAAGTAAAAATTAAAATGTTTGGGCCCTTTAGTTTTTTTCGAAGACATGTCGCTGCCATATATGCACAGGGTAATATGCAGCGGTAGCAACAATATGTCACATATATTTATACCCTTCACCACACTGTGGTACAGGGTATTATGTCTTTGTGCATATGTTTGTAACAGGCAAAAGGAAACGAGATAGACACATGGTTCCTTTTTAGAATATGCACAGAATCACTTTCTAAGTCGATTTATGCATGTACAAAGTACAGGTCGCATTTATGATCCGAATTGGATGAAATTTGGCACAGCTAGTCTATTTGGCGCAAGGACGAAACCTATTGAAATTGGGAAACACGGTTCCGATTTAGACATAGCTCCCATATATATTTTCTTACAATTAAGGTAAACGGGGCACCAAAGTCCCTATACATATTCGATTTGCATGAAATTTGGCATAGGGTACTGAATTACGTCCAGAATGATGTGTGCTCAATTTCGTGAAATTCAGTTCAGATATAGATATAGCTCCCATTTATATATTCGTCAGATTTAAGGTAAATGGTGCTCCAATGTCCCTAAATAACTTCCGATTTGCACGAAATTTGGCACAGCGTACTGAATTAAGACTAGACTGGATATATCTCCCATATATATTTTCGTACGATTTAAGGTAAATGGTGCACCAGAGTCTGTATTTATCTTTCGATTTGCACGAAATTTGGCACAGCACAATGAATTAGGTCTAGAATGATGTGTGTTAATTTTCCTGAATTCGGTTCAGATTTAGATATAGCTTCTATATCCGACCAAATGAAAAATGTAGTATCGGTTGTAGAACGACATGTTTATGGATCCAATTTAATTTTACTGGTCCTTCAAAAATGCGACGTCTGTTAGGGTTCATCTGTTCCGACTTTACTACTTTCCTTACTGGTTTTTATTAGTGGCTCTGCTGTCATGTCTAATGTGGCATCTTTTACTCCTGACATACGTTTTTCCCAAGTGTGCGAGTAGTGATCGACTTTTGCTGTTTTGTCCCAACAGCACAAAAACCAATAATACTTTGACCATCCGAAATATTGACAACTTTAAGGTCGCACCTCCAGTTCCTGCGTTTACCCTGTGCATATATCGCTGCGACATGTCTTCGAAAAAAACTAAAGCGCCCAAACATTTTAATTTTTACTTTAATTTTGTACCTATTTATTGAAAAAGCATACCGATTTTTATTTCTATACACCTACAATTTGGAGTGAATTTCTTTGGTTCATTTTGATGGATTTGTGAGGCTATAACTAAGTGAAGGAGTCAACCAATGAAATCGGGGTTTTAAGAAGAGTTGTTTGATTTGCTATTGGCTATATTCTTGTCATATATTGTTTGGTCGAGTCAGTAGCAGTTTCTGAAATAAGTGTGAAAAAAACATGGAAAAAGTATGTCGAAATTTTAATTTTTTTGCAGTTGTGCAATTTTCAGTATGATGGTGATGTTTTATTGATTTTATCACAAGAACAAATTTTTAGATCTAATTAAGAGGAAGAATATTGCTTAAGAGAGAAAAGCAATATTTCGAATAGTTCACGAGATATAGACTCAATAATAAGTACGTATTATTCGAAAATTGTGTTAAAATCCACCTCCAGTCGAATATTTTAAAAATTAATTTAAAAGAAAACCTTAGCTAATAATGCAAAACCCAGCTAGGGATTTTCTTCCATCATCACAAGCTTCAAGATTTTGGGGGTCTCGATTGGTTCAAGATTTTAAAGTTGAAAAATGTGTCACTGTGTTATACTACAAAGAGAGGGGAAATTATAAATTAATTAATAATAAATAATTTTAAATTCGTTCAAATGGAAAATGTGAAAAATATAAGATTGAATGAATTTAATGAAAAATTGTATTATGTTCAATTAAAAAATATCCTTTCCCCGTTTATTTGCGAAATGTGATTTTATGCTCCTTTCAATATCACATTTTGATCAACTTCAAGGTAAAATTCACCACCCTGAAATCCACGTTGCAATCGTGGAACAGCCTGTGCTTTTTGCAAAAGTACTGTCACTAAGCAGAACGTAAGAACAGTAACGACTTGCATTCTGTTTGCGTTGCGTTTACAAAGAAAACTGAACTATTTTTCATCTTCCTACCGGCCACATCTTCCAGCCACCGGCTAGTGCTCGCTACGGTTGACCGTCTTCTTTATCTTCCAGGGCGGCACATCCACATCTTTGATCGCTTTCTTCGTCTTATTGGCCTTTTCTGCTTACCAATCGTGGATTCCACTTTCAACTTACAGATCGCATTTTCAGACTTCTTTATCATACAGCCTTTATCCATGGCCAACTCGACTGGAGCTATTTCCTGTGCCAATGGAATATTACTGTGAACAAATGGAATAATACTTACTTGCTGCTCCTTATTGTTATTGGCAACCATTCGTATGGCCAATTGGTCACGTTCTGTCTCTGCTGATCGACGGTTCTTCTCCGAAAGATCCAGTTTTTTTCAACAGATTCCTTTTCTCTTCTTCCCAGGATTTTTCTGCTGCCTGGGCTTTCTCTGCAGCCGCAACCAATTCACCTTTAAGCTTGAGATCTTGAAAGTACTATTCAATGTATGTATCTCTTGCTTTTTTATAACTTGCCTGTGACATTTCTTTACGGCAACCATTGACGTCTTCCGATCTTTTTAGAGCAACTTCTAGCTCTTTATTCCTTGCCCGTAACTCCGCCACGTCACGGCTTTTCTCCCCCAATGCTCTTTGAAGGCTGCCTATTTGTTCTTGAACTGGCCTAAAACCTCCTGCCATATTGGATTTGTTCTCCAATATCTCCATCCATCCATCGGGTGCGCCCTAGACTTTCTATAAAGTCATATAGGTTCTGTACCATAGTCGTATCTAGTCGATCGATATTCTCTGCGAACATGTTAATATTATTTAGAAGATTGTTTATCTCCAGCTCCAGGGTCGGTACCGAGGCTCTGCCTAGCTTACCTTCATCTGCAGACGCTATGCTCAGAATTGAAGCTTCACTGGCTAAATGTCTCGTCGTCACCGCCATTTTCCTGGCCGCAGTCTCCTTTTGACTCGGCATTCTGAAGGTTTGCAATGTACTGCCTCGTACATCCACTGCATATCCTCCTTCTTCTCTGCTACGGAAATGATGCTTGTAATATATTTATATAATGGCTAATTATATCCGACACCATAATATTGTGCTTGTTTTGAGACACTTTTTAAAATTGTATTGTTCTTCAGTATTGTTCTTCAGTATTTTTTAAATATGTGGGTATTATAAAGACTGCCAATCCGACGTTGGTCCTTTAGCTGAGCTGGAATCTTGAAATTTAAAGTTATGGTTCATTGTTGGGGTGTATGGTTGGGCTTTATTTAACGTTATGGAAATTCGTACTAATGTGTACTCAATTTTGTACAATTTGAATTTTGGGTGAACATATAGAGCTGATCAGAATAAAATTCTATATCGATGATATGAATTGTCCAAAGGAATTAGTTGTATGCCGAAATATTCATTTATTTAAATTTTATAATATTATATTCATTTAATTTTTTAACAAGGTGGGGAAAAAAGGATTTTGGTAATTTAATTTTATACAGGCTTTTCACAAATAAATCCGTATTTTGTAGTACAGGCCCTATCATTCCATTGGAATCCGTCTAGTTTAGACCATACATGTACGCAGTGTTCATTACTACCAGCATTGTTCGGTTCGCCTTTTGCCCAGTTAGTGAATGTTACACGCTGACCAGATGACCAGTAGAATGGACGATTTAGATCCTTGGCTGTATTGTATTCATCGTTAGCTCCTATCCAAAAGTCCTTGGGATTGCCTAAACCAAAAAAGTACGGTCTCTAATAAATTTATTACAAATCTGCAAACTCTTCACGATACCAATGTAAGATTCCAGTGCAGTCAATAATTCTTTGTTCTTGGCGGCGTCACGGACTTCAACGAGTCTCAAACCTTTTCGAGCACATTCGTGTGATGCTTCAAACCAATTATACTACGAAAGAAGGGGAAATTAGAAATTAGTTCATATGGAAAACGTGAAACTATAAAATAAATATAAAAAAACTATGAAATGTGAGAGGTGATTTTATGCTCCTTTCAATATCACCTTTTGATCAACTTCAAGATAAAATTCACCACCCTGAAATCCACGTTGCAACGTTGGAACAGCCTGAGCTGTTTGCAAAAATACTGCTACTACACAGAACGTAAGAACAGTAACGACTTGCATTCTGTTTGTGTTGCGTTTACAAAGAAAACTGAACTAATATTCAGGAGAATGACCGATATTTAAATAAAAAATGTTTTGTATCTGACTTTTTACTATATATTAAATAAACATACACGCAATAAACCCTTTTAAACAAAACACTAATAAAATGTGATAACATTTTACACGGTTAATATAATTTTAATAAATCTGAATTCTGTTATCTTGTAAGATATTAGTTAACAAGCATGGCAACAACATTAAAAAAAAACTAGGGGCATATACAAAACCAGTAAGAAATGTAGTAAAGTCGGACGGACCGACTATATGATACCCTTTACCACTTTGGCTATATTTCAGTAAGGAAAGTAGTAAAGTCGGACGGGCCGACTATATGATACCCTTTACCACTTTGGCTATATTCAAGAGATGCATCCTAATTTTTGAAGGACCATTGACATAAAAGTTGACTACTTTAAACATATGTGATAAGTGGCAATGTGTGAACCGATTAACCGAAGGATTAATGACCAGGTACATTTGTAAATTTATATTGAGTTTGTTTTTTTCGTTTATAATTCATCGAAATACTCACTTCCAACCCTATAAAATATTTTTGATCAGCATAAAATTCTATGGCGATTTAAGCATGTCCGTCTGTCTGTTGTCTAGCCTCTAGACGACAACATAGAGTTGTCTTTTGTCTGCAGGCAGATCAAGTTCAAAGATGAGCTTTACGGCCCACTCATATGCACATAAGGGTTTTTTAAATTTCGCTTAAATTTGGTACAATAGGTTCTTATTGGTTATAAAAGGGTGTTCTTGAACGTGCTTTACAACCGAATTCGGTGAAATTTGGTACAATGGATTCTTCTTTGGTACATCAATCCACACTGATGTCCTCGGTAAGCTACGCCAAAGTACATGTAATTAGATTTAGATTCGTTTAGAAAATTATGTAAATCAATTTAAATAAAAATATTCATAATGCTACAACACAGTGCGATGCTACAACAACAAAAGATATAATCTCCAGTTCATCCACAATCATCAGTTCATTATTTAGTGCACCCTTTAATTCGTTGGTCCACAATTTGCAAAAAATCAGAAGAACATATATATGGGACTTATATCTAAATCTAAACCGATTTCAATAAAACTTGGAACACTTTATGCTATCATAACTTCAGTACGTTGTGCAAAATTTTGTGCCAATCGGACCAAATTTGACTCTTTGGTGATCCATTTGCTAAAAATCGGACGAAAATATCTAAATCTGAACCGATTTTCCCAATTTCAATAGGGTTCGTCCCTGGCACAAATAAATGTCCTGCCCCAAATTTCATCCAATTCGGATAATAAATGCGACCTGCACTTTGTTTACAATTTAACATGGACAGACAGATGGACAGACGCACAAGCATAAACCGACTCAGAAAGTGATTCTATGCATATTTGTGGTAAATTATGGTTCCATCACAATTCCTCTTTTCGGTTAATAAAATGTTCGCTGGGATGTCAATAGCTATTTTTAGCATATTATTTTTCGAACATTCTGAAAATTGTATCTAGACATGAATCTTTTTTGGTGCCGATGTGTCTCGGATAACACCTGTTACATTCCCTGCCTTGTCTCATATGGACTGTTTAGCGAGCCACCCACATAAATTGGCGTAGCTAATTAGAGATAGTATCTCGGCCTTGCAGTCGTAAGGACCAGAGTTCAAACCCGGCTAACACCAATCCGTTTTTTTTTTTAATTTTTTTATTTTAACTATTTTTTTTTCTATTATACCGTTAGTGGAGACTTAGAATCAGCTAATAATTTCTATGTATTAGTGAGAATGCACTCAAATGTGTTCTAAAACATACTTAGCTCTTCTCTAATTGACTTATGTACCTTTGCTTAGTGGTGAACAATAATTAGGTTGTTTTACGATAGTATCATTATGCTGCTACAAAATCTCTTCCTTCTTTCCGTTGCTGACCATACAAAGATCAAACACGCATATCAGAAACCAAAAAAAAAAAAAAATTCTTTGTCATTTAAAAAGAAAAATTTAAAGTGAAAAAATAAGTGATTTTAACCCGCAAAATCCTTTAGTCTAATTAATTAATGACTAAATAAAATAAATTATCACTTTAAAAGCGAACTAATATTCGTAAAATTTTTGTGGAAATTTTTGCAAATTCCCAAAAAAAGTCATCAATCAAAAAACGCTGACATCTAAGTAAATTTACAAATTTTTACAACAACATTTTCCGAAAAGCAATTAAATTTCCAAGACGGTAAGAATTAAAATTCTAATTGTTTTCAAAATTGGTATTAGAAAAGTGTTATTTTTTTTCTTGACATACAGATTGCAATTAATACCCCCTTTACGGCAACATTTTCCGTGAAACAAAAAAATCCCCATTGGGATTTTAAAAAAATCAGTGTTCGTCATCATTAAATTACTGTCACCAAATTTTCCTTGGCATATTACCACCACTATCCGAATAAAATATCTTGATGCTATTGGTACAAATAGATATTCCTCAGCAACATTTGTAACAAAATCTGCCACTGTGCGAGACATCACGTGTCAAGCCAGACACGCACCAGACACCCTCGTAATTGGATTTACGATATAACCTGCTAAAAATAGAATTGCAAAATATAGGCGTCTCGCTTGCACATTGCACAACACGTAGATCAGCATTGGAAAGGCAGAGCACAGCGATCGTGTGCAAAAGCATTAGTTAAGAAGCCGGCTACACAACAGCTCAGTAGCCTAGGCAGCAAAAAGGCACTGCTACCAACCATAAGGTCGCGGGTTCGACCCCCGACATCGGCAACAGCATTATTTATGAAATTTAAAATCTAATATTTAGAACTTATAAAATCGCAAAACATGTATCGCAAGTATTCATAAAATTTTGATCATCATGTTCCCCCTAAACATATGCAAACATTTACCTTAACATATTAAAATTCCTTACAGTTCCATCATCACACACATAAACACACACATACAACACCAGTTCATCGAGGCCTCGACGATCAGCGTAAATATGTGGATTTAATTAAAAAAGGATACAAATAATAATCCTTTCAAAACTGCAAAAACAACAACAGAGTGAGTTATAAAATGAAAATATAAAAATATTTGCATATGTAGGGTTTAATTATGTAGTGGTTAAAATATGAAAAAAGAGTCCTTGTAACAAAATAATTATCCTTTAGGAAAAGGAATAAAAAAAAAGAATGAAATCGTCCAAAAATCCATTTTTTCTAATATAAAATTTTGAATCCTTTAAATCTTAAATTAAATCTATAATATAAATTATATATTTTTTTCTTATTCATCTATATTTAAATTAAAACCTAAATTCATATACCTCTCATTTTACTGAGAAACATGTAAAAGTAAAATTTTCGATTAATTCCATTTCTATCTCGTTGGATAGTAATCTGATAATTTAGCAATTTTTTATTTTAACAAAGTTAAATATATAAACTCTTATTTCCATCTTTTATTTTTACATAATTCTCAGTGAAATATTCATAATATCGATTTTGCTATGTATTTTCTTAAATCCATGATGTTTGTAAATTTTTCCGAAATATTTTGTTAGAAGTATCTTATCACTATGTGCCCTAGAAAATGAATTTTAAATATATACTCGTTAATAACGAAATGAAGAGCTAAATCTAGTATAATTTCTTACTATGGTGAGGTAATATAAAGAGAGGGTAAATTGCATTAAGTAAGAAAATCTCAACTTTTGCCTTCAAAATGTGAAATTTACCTACATACTGAAAAAACTTTTTCTTGC